ATGCAAAGATAGTAGAAACAGGTAAAGTGTTTCTCTCAGTTCTCAGTTTTAAAGGAGGGGGAAGCGAAACGAGAATGTTTTGGTATGGCCAGTGGCATGGAGATGCTCTTAAGGATTCTTTCCAGGTTTGTTAACTTAGGTGGCTAGCAAGGATGTATCATAACATAATTGTATGGATATAGACGAAACATTGCTTAGTTGAAGTGGTGTCTTTCTGAGAAATCTGAATGATTGGGAAGTAAACTGTAATTGAAGATTTCAAAGGTTGATTGGAGTTCACAATTCACATATACGAGGACTAAGAAAGGATGTTTTGAATAGGTGCTGGGAAATTGCAGAACATTTTCTGCAAATATTCAACAAAATGCACATAATCAGAATAAAAGCTTACGGCCAAAAGAAAACAATAACAAAATGCCACACAACTCTGATGGAGAATATCAGGTTCCCCGTCCATGAATGTCAGTGGATAAGGCATTACCCATCCTTTACTCAAGTGCCCTTGTGTGCCTTAGTTTCTTAAGGAACATGAGGAAATATGCTAATAAGTAGCAATAAAACAAGATTAACTAATTACAAACTTCATTGTATGTTTGAGCACTGATAAGTTAAGAGCAACTTAAGTCAATGTGAATGCAGCAATCGGTGTTATCTTCAAATACAGAAGGCAAGAATAAATAACTACAACAAAGATATTGATCCTAGGGACCAACAAGATGACGGCCTGTTATAATGCATGCCTATTGATGAGATTTTCCTCTGTGGCACAACAAATTAGTCATTGAATGTTTACCACCAGACCAACATATATCTATATTATCAACAGAACTCAACTTGTCAACCATTACATGTAAATTTGAAGTATCCCATATTACTTTTTTATAATTGGAATATTAAACATAAGAACTGAGGGTAATATGATAACTACATAGTACGCACTTTCCTTTGAAATCCAACCACATTTAAACAGAGAACTTACGAAAGCCTTGTAGTAAACACTTTACGAAATAGTAAAATGATTAGGGCCAGAAATTTGAAGTTTAATGACCTTATGAAAGCTTTATATGGCTTCTCAAGCTACTTCTTATATCAGTTAACAATAAAACTTCTTCATCAAACAAGAGATGCCTGTGAAAAAGAAGTGAAACTTACCATTCTACGATCAATCATAGAGCATCCATCAGCACAAAGCAAAGTCGGGAATGTGTCAAAACCTTCTGATAGACATAGAGTCAATATAAGCCTCATTCCCTTTTGACAATCTTCAGTTTCTGCCAGAGTCAAATCTCCCGTTGACTTTGTATATGCACGGAGCAGTATAATCCACCAGAAACCAGAGTCAACAGGAGCAACTCGCCCAATTGCACTCTCACCAAAATCTGCAACGATAGTATCTGATTTCCGGATAGGGTCATGAAGAACTTTGAAGCTTGCTGGCATTGCACCTTCCCCGAGCTTGAACCGATCTATTCTTTTTTCCCACCCTTGGAGCTGCAGGGTCTTCAAGAGGAAGTTCTTAACTATCTCAGGCTCACCATTCATTAGAAAAGCCAGAGCACTTGGTACAAAATCCCGTACGAAAACCTAAACACAACAAGAATCATGTTTTAGATTATTTTGACTTCCACCACAGGTGCAATTATGTTCTATGAAAGCTTATGCCAAATTCAAACGAAAAAAAGAGAGACAGAGATCATGTATGGGACTGGATAATTCTCTTGTAAACAATAACTGTTTATTTCTCCAAACTGCAGAATCAATATTCCAAGCAATGGGTATTTGCATTAGCTCACACAAAGTGAAATTGAAAATGAAAAGCAAGCAATGGTTTTGTAAATTGCGAAAAGTTGACCTGATCATAGTTCAAAACTTCCTCAGAGGCATGGTCATATGCGGCAATGGTGCCCACCGGCTGGCTGCGAAAGAAGACCAAAGAGCGGCGGAGAGCTTCCCATGCCTCGGCAACCATTGGATGCGGCTCGAACGAGTTGCGAGCGGAGGAAGCGGGAGTGTCGAAACCAGACCTTCCACCGGGGGAGTAGGTGCTATCAATGTTGTCCAAGCCGGCTCTGGTGAGGCCAATGGAGAGCTCACTCAGTGACCTCTCGTCGAAGGACCTCTGCCTCTCAATGTTGAGCCTCGGCTTGTCGAGAAGGCGTGAGAGGTCGTAGTCGTCCATGTCCGAAATGGAGCAATGCGAGCTCACATTTCTTAGTCCAAACTCTTTGGCCCCTTCCATTTCTTCTTCTTCCTTCTTCCTTCTTCTTCTTCAATCGCTCAGCCAAACCAAACCAAATCGCTTCTTCTTCTTCTTTCACCTCCCAACAGATCTGAACTTGTGTGTTGTGTTCCACTCCTACCAAACAATTTATTTATTAGACAAAAGTTGGTCCCTACAATACAACTCACTTCCCCAAAAAAAAGAGCACACAATTCACATGGAAAAATGTTAGGAAAAATAAATACAGAGAGAGAGAGAGAGAGAGAGAGAGAGAGAGAGAGAGAGAGAGGAAAAATTAAAGCTGCAGTAATTAAGAGGTGAAGATTATTAGGATAAATATTGACTTTTACAGCGAGTTAACTTTTAATTGGGAAATTAATTATTACTAATTTACTACGGTTACTAATTGAGTGAATGGATTTGGAGGATGATTTTTTACCGGAAAAAATTATATTAAGACAAAAAAAAATCTGTAAACAAACGTATGCAATGAAGCAGAAAATCTTTTTGAACCAAACAAAGAGTTACAATTGCGAAACCAGCAACAACAGAGTCTCTGACAGATTCAGCTGCAGGGAAAATTTAACAAATGTAACGTTTTGTGTGTATAAATAATGATAATTAAATAATTAAATACTAATAAATAATCATAACAATGGTAGATCAAGATAAACCAGAATTAGCGGCCATTTCAAAACAGCAAGCTTTTACAAAAAGCAATGGAGGAAATCGACGAATTCGTACAATAAAAACCAGATCTGAACCTTCTCAGTCAAAACATACCAAAAAAAAAAATTAAGGAGAGAGAGGGAGTCGAAGGGTTCAAGAGCTTGAACCTCAGAGAGAGAGAGAGAGAGAGAGTAAATGGCGGAGGAGAGTCTTCGGCAGTCTGATCGGCCGATCGCCGGCTATTTCGCCGGAAGTTGGTCGGAGATGAGACAATAATAATATGATATTGTCGTCGCCACTGTATAGCAATATGCTGAACAGAAGAGAGAGAAGAAGAAGAGAAAAAAAGAGCATTTTGGTTAACTCCTCCTATTTATAGTTCGAGAGCTGAAAGAGAGCAGCAAGCAACGGACCAAACCAAAGGCCAACCCAAAACCCATTTTTCATTTTTCACTCCAAAAAAGGAAAAAGGAAAAATGATAAATAAATAAATAAATAAAGAAGGGAAGAGAGAGAGAGTGAGTTGACCGTGAATAGCCAGTGAGAGAGCACGAGCGATTTGCTGACATGGACAAAACGACACAGTTCTGTCATTGTATGTATGACCCCAACATTGGATTTTCCGTTGGTTGGTGTTCTCTTTCTCCTCCACTGCCTGTGCGTAAGTCAATTTAATTTAATTTACAAAAATTCATTTCCCACTTAATATTCATTGGGCAAAGAATCATTTTTTATCCTTATAGTATGCCGGTTTTATTACTTTGGTCTCTATAGTTTTAATTTTGTATAATTTACCATTGTAGTTTTCAATTTTTTCAAATTTATTCTTATAGTTTTCAATTCGAAGCAACTAATGGACACGTTTCAATTTATGTCGAAATTCTTTGCAATTCCATTGAAAAGCCTTTTGATCCACTTAAGGCAAATTTCTCCCGATTCTCCTAAATTTTAACCTAAAGATGCAACCCTAAACCCCAAAAATCATTTTAAAGTAAATGAGAAGAGCTTCAGCTTGTGTTTTACCGTCGAATGATTTGAGCGAATTGAAATACCCCTCCATGTGAGGGACACATGGTCAAAACTTAATGGAATCTAGAAGAATCTGATAAAAATTGAAATTTGCTCTTTAATTGCTCCAAATTGAAACTAGAAACATAAATTTAACAAAATTACAACATAAATCATAATGATAAAATCGACAAATTACAAGACCAAAAATAAATTTTTGCCTATTTAGTGTGTGGTGGAGTAGGTGAGGCTGGTTGTTGGATATTGACAAAAATATTTAATACATGTTCGTTGGGTTTCGGATTGCATTTTATTCAATGCAACTTTTGGGAAAAACAACTCTGATTTAATTATTTTCTTGCCTCGAGTCATTTTTTTTAATAAAGAAAAAGCCATAAAGGGACAGCTGATCTCTCTCAGATTTGCCTTTTGCCTCCATATTTGACAATTTTTTATTATTGGTCAATGCTTCCAGCCTATGCGTGATAAGCCCTGGTAGGAGGGGCACGGGTTGTAATCTTATTATTATGGGTTAAATATCTTTTCTATTAATGGGTTTTATATGAAAATTCAATTTCATCATTCAAAAAAAATTAGCCAAATTAATCACTATGTTTCCCAAAGTGTACAATTTATAGATTTTTTGTTATCATCCGTTAGGTGCAGTTAGTGGAAGAAAACTCCAGGTGCTTCTTGAAAAAATAGAAATAAAAACTACACTTAACGAAAGATAATAGAATGTCTATAAATTGTAAACTTGAAAAATGCAATAACTAATTTGGATACATTTTTTTCTCAATAATTAAATTGAATTTTTGTGTAAAATTCAATGGCTAAAAAAGTATTTAACCCTGAAAAATGGGACACTCCAACTCCAAATTACTATTATTATAAACAAGCAACCTCACAAAGTGGTTTAATAAATAAATGGGCCACTCCAACTCCAAATCCCACCTTGCTTATCTTATTTTTTTTTTTGGTAACAAAGAGGGCTAAGCCCAAACAACAACTAAACATAAATCAACCTAGACCTTAAAAGGCCATCCCTGTCTTCTTGGAGGACACCAGTAATACCACCAGGAGGCAAAACAGAGCAATGAACTCCCAATTCCATCTCATGCCCCATCTTAGCCAGAGAGTCAGCAGCAAAGTTAACCTCCCTGAAAACATGAAAGATGCTGCAGTCCCAGGAACTCTTCCAATAGACTCTGCACATGTTTAGCAAAGTAAGGAGGGGGTGATATGGCTCCACCTTAGCATTCAAAAGGTGCAAAACAAGAGTAGAATCAGTTTCAACAATAAGCTTTGTCACTTGCAAACATTGAGCTAGCTTAAGACCATGATACAACGCCCACAGTTCAGCCACCAAAATCTCCCCAAGACCCAAATTAGCAGAAAAACCTGCTACCCACTCACCAACAGAATTGCGAATAAGGCCCCCAGCCGCAATAGCGCCACTAGAAACAATTCTAGACCCATCAATATTCAGTTTCATGGTAGAAACAGGGGGAGGCTTCCACGCCAGCAACGTTTGCATCTTGAGCCTATGGACCCCACCCTTTTTATTAGCAAAGTCCCATTGCACAAGAAACCTCAAAATCCATTCATTGGGTCGATCAGGATAGTGGAAGGAAGAGTCAAAGACAGTGTAGCATCTCCATTTCCATATGAACCAGCAACCAGTCGCAAAAATATTACACCATCTCAAGTTGAAAGAATTAACAACAGCAGTTTTTAGGTTTAAACGCAACCAACAATTAAAGTCAGTAGCAAAGGATACCTTAACACAATCAGGTAAGGAGAAGGAGTTCCATATTGCTTGAGCTCGAGGACAACGGATGAACACATGCTGAAGCGATTCCATATGGCAATGACAAAACGGACAAGCTGAATTATTTGTCATTTTTCTTCTTGTTCTCTGTACATTGGTCAGAATTTTATTTTGGGATAATAGCCACAGAAACACTTTTAGTTTGGGAGGAATCTTAAGCTTCCAAATAAAATACCAGCTATCATCATCCCCTTGAGACAAGCTGGAGCAAATATTATAAGCAGATTTAACTGTGAACTCCCCATTGGGACTAGGACCCCAAACAAGTGTGTCAGGAGAAGAACCATCAAAGTCAGCAGGAGTGCTAATAATTTTCTGGACCACATCAACATGTAACACTTCAAGGAGTTTGGGAATATTCCAACCAGATTGGGTAAAATAATTGGCAACCACTTCATGGACATCAATCTCCTCAATATTGAGAGGCGTAGAGTCAATTAGGATGCCATCCAAAACCCAAGGATCTGTCCAAAAATTAATTCTATTCCCATTTCCCACTCTCCACTTCCTGCCCGCACTTAGGATTTCAGCACCAAATAGAATGCCCTTCCAGGTGCTGGATGCACAAATAGAGTTCACATTATAGTTATCAAAGGACGTAGTCCCCTTTAAATATTTCTTTCTCATCATGTTAGCCCAAAGCCCATCATGGTTATTGGTAATTCTCCAGCTAGCCTTGGCAAGCAACGCTTGGTTCATCGAGGTAGACCTTTTAATCCCAAGCCCTCCAAGCCTTTTTGGCTTACACACAATATTCCAGTTCACCAGATGTACCTTACGAGTAGTCACAGTACTACCCCAGAGGAAGTTCCTATTAGCCTTGTCTAGGTCTGCACAAACAGAAGCAGGAAGCCTAACAGTTTGCATCGTGTAAAAAGGGATGGTAGAAGTGACTGACTGAATTAGTGTGAGTTTACCAGCCAAAGAGAGGAGATTACTCTTCCACGAGGAAAGCCGAGATTGGACCTTATCAACAACTTCCTTATAAGTATTTCTAGAAATTCTACCTTGAATAAGTGGAACTCCAAGATACTTACCCAGGTCGGGGGAGAGATGAGAGCCACAAATTTTAGCAATTTCAGTAGCCACCTCTCGCTTAGTGTTTTTAGAGACAAAAAGCATCGATTTCTCAAAGTTAACCTGTTGGCCAGAAGCACAACAGAAGGCATCTAAACACTCTTTCATAATCTGGGCTTGTCGCATAGACGCCTCACCAAAGAGGATGAGATCATCAGCAAAAAACAAATGTGAAATGAGAGGTCCAGATTTCGCAGCCCTCACAGGCCTCCAATCTTTACTAAAAACTCTAGAGGAGATAATATGGCTAAGTTTTTCCATGCATAGAACAAATAGGTAAGGAGAAAGGGGGTCACCTTGTCTCAGCCCACGCTTTGGATAAAAGGTCTCAGTCATCTCACCATTCATAATAACTTTGTACTCCACAGAAGTCACACAACTCATGATTAGTTGCAAGGAATGCCCACCAACTCCAATTTCTTGAAGAGTTTTCTCAATGAAATCCCAACTAAGTCTATCATACGCTTTAGATAGATCAATTTTCCAAGCAATAAAACCTTTTTTCCCTTTAGCTCTTCGGAACCGATGCAGAACTTCTTGGGCAATGAAGATGTTCTCAGAAATTTGCCTCCCAGGCACAAAGCTCACTTGGTGTGGGCTAATAAGATGACAAAGAAGGGGCCTCAATTTGCTGACAATAATCTTTGAGACAACCTTATAAAGAGAATTGCAAAGACTAATAGGCCGAAACTGCATCATGGTTTGAGGACATGGAACTTTAGGTATCAAAGTTATCAATGTAGAATTCAGCCCCTCAGGAATAGACCCAGTACGAAAGCACCTTATCACCAATTGTGTGACATCTTCTTTCACAGTATTCCAGCAATTGTGGAAAAATATAGCTGGAAAGCCATCAGGCCCGGGGGATTTAAGGGGTCCAATATTGAACATCGCTTCTTTAACATCTTCAGGAGAGACATCAGTGCAGGCCTCAATAATTAAGTTGTGGTCAATTTGGGGAAACAATTTAGGAAGAGAGCCCGAGAACTCATGCAATTCCTTATTGTCAAATAAAGCTTGGAAATAGCCCACCGCTAGCTTCCTTAAACCATTTGTTTCCGTCACCCAATTTCCAGTATCATCTTTAAGCCTTTCCACTCTATTTCTCCTTCTTCTCACCAGAGTAGTGAGATGAAAAAATTTAGTATTTCTGTCACCATTTTGGAGCCAAGAGATTCTGGATTTTTGTCTCCACAGAATATCCTCTTGATCAAGTATTGCATCATATTCCATTTGAAGATCTTTCTCTAAAACAATGAGAGAATGGCAATAATGCCTACACAAAGCAGATTCAATACCTCGCAGTCTAGCCGATATATTCCTTTTCCTGTGAGTGAGCTGACCAAAAACATCCTTATTCCATTGTAGCAACACTGGGGACAGTATATTAAGCTTATCATGAGCCTCACCAGCAGCATTGGCCCATTCGTGTTGGATGAATGTATCAAACTGGTTATGCTTGAGCCACATAGCTTCAAAGCGAAAGGGTTTGAGGTTAGGGGAAGGGATTTTATCAGAGGATAAGGAGATGAGCAGGGGGTTATGATCTGAGTTCCTCCTTACAAGATGTCTAACGAATGCTTCAGGATAAAGAATTCTCCACTCCTTGTTACAAATAGCCCTATCTAGTCTTTTCATTACAAACTTACCAGCCTCACGTTTATTAACCCAAGTGAATCTTGGGCCAATAAAACCCAAGTCAATCATGCCTTGATTATCAAACCAATCTTTAAAACCCTTGCTCCTGCCCAAAGTGGTGCCATATTTTTCTTGCGCATAGAGAATGTCATTGAAGTCACCAGCTAGTAGCCAGGGCAGCTTCCACGCACTAGCAATAGTGTCAAGAGCATTCCATAGATTCACCCTTCTAGATGGACAAGGATTTCCATATACTGCAGTGAATAGCCAGGCGGACCCCTCTCTATTTTCAATAAATATAGTCACAGATTGGTCTAGACACTTTATCACCTTGATATTGCATTTATGCTCATCCCATAAAACCCAAATTCCACCAGAAAATCCTACAGCATCAGAAACTTCAGCATTGGAGAATCCCAGTTGAGAGATTACCTTTCGAGCTCTATCAGAACTAATTCGTGGTTCACAAATCACCATAATATCCAGCTTATTGCCTTTTTTAAAATCTTGCATATCCAGCAGTGATTTCCTGCTACCTGCCCCTCGAACATTCCAACATCCAATAAGCATTACACTTAACGTCAGAGGAAGTAGTCTTTGTAACCAGAAGGATGGAAGAGAGGTATTCTCAATTTTTAGCAGAGATCGGGGATGGGAATCAGATCTGGGCATGTGGATAGGGGGAGAGAGAGAGAGGTGGTTGTCGGAGGGTGGGCTGCTGAGGGTGGAGGCGATAAAAGGGAAAGAAGGTGATATTGGGTGGTTAGATCTAATTTCAGGATTCCTAAAATTGGGATCTTTCAAATATGCAAAGGTTGAAAAGGCTAAAATAAGTTACGAAAACAAAGAGTAAACAAACCTGCTAAGACAGAGCTTAGGGGATCACCAGATCCGGTCCTCGTCATGAAGCATGAATCGTGATACATGCGGTGTGTTATACAATATTTTATTGCATTTTAAAACCCAAAAACCAATATACCCAACTAGAGGGAAAAAAAAAGTTTCAACCGTCGTCCTCTTCGGGGTCGGTGACTTTCCATCTCCTCCTCCTATTCCCTCCCTTCTTTACCCTCCCAGACCTTCCCTTTCCCTCTCAACTTCTGCTCAGGAACGGACCCAGCAAGGAACTAATTAGAGCTAGCTGACTTTTCTTCTTTTTCAACCCAAAATAACATTTAGCCCACCCGAGTAGGGAAAGGTACATCTGTTTTTATTTTTTTGTTTTATATTTCTGCTAGAAGGATGAGTTGCAAACCTTTGCAAAGGATAGAAACAGTGTAGACATAATAATATTTTTTTTTTTTTGGGTTTAGGATGACTACCAAGTGCCATATGAATTTGAATTATTACGCTGACGCCACAGCTCGGGCCATTTCTCCCCATGGGCTTTCTCGGGTTGGTGGGCTCCACGCCTTGCCCGGGCTTGCTGTTGCGCGCTGGAACGTCCTCGCAGGGCCTAGGCCCTCTCCTGCCCGGGCTGGGTCCGTGTGGTGGAAGTGCTCTAATATGTGCAGAAGTCCCATGCTTGTGTGAAAGTTAAACTGAATAGATAACTAGTTTAAAGCTGGAGAGGTGGGCCTGAGTACTAGACTTGTGTTTTTCTTCTTCTTCTCTTTTTCTTTTTTGATTGGACATTGCGCTCGTCTCTTCTCGCTCTTTTCATGCCTCTTTCCCCTAAGATTCCTTGCATTTTCCTGACCTTCAATCTTAGCCGTCCAGCAGATCGTGTAGCCAGCAGCCACAGAAAGTGACCCCTGGTTTTGGTTGCTTCCAGAAAAATACCCTCTGTCCACACTGATCTTCCACGCTCTCTCGGCCTCTCTCCGCGTCCATGACGTGTTGGCAGGAACGTAGCAGGGACTTTTGGTTCTGTTGCTTCTGCTACAACACACAAACTGCTACAACACATAATTTGTAGTTGGTCTGATCTGAACCGATAGCTCCTCCAGTATCAATTAATGGATGCCAGGAAAGCCCATAAAGCATCCTCTTCATCCTCACCATCCACCTCTTCATCAAAACTTTGGAAGTACCAAGTGTTCTTGAGCTTCAGAGGTGAAGACACACGCAAGGGCTTCACAGGCCACCTCCACGCCGCATTATCTCATGCCGGAATCAGCGCCTTTCTTGACGACAACGAGCTAAAAAGAGCGGAATTTATAAAAACCCAACTGGAGCAGGCAATCGACGGGTCCATGATCTCCATAATTGTCTTCTCCAAGAGTTATGCAGATTCCAGTTGGTGTCTTGACGAGCTGGTGAAGATCATGGAGTGTAGAGAAAAATTGGGGCAACAGGTTATTCCATTGTTCTATAATGTTGAGGCTTCAGATGTCCGGAAACAAACTGGTAGTTTTGCTCTAGCATTTGAGAAACATGAAGCGGGCAAACATGAGAAAGAAAAGGTACAACGATGGAGAAATGCTCTCAGTCAAGCAGCAGATTTGTGTGGGGAAGATCTTAAAAATGCTGACAGTGGGTAATTACTAATTTCTTGTTCCTTTTATTATCATCTCCTTAAAAATGTTATCTGTCCTTTTTGTTTTTGTTTTTGTTTTTCCAACTGTGTTTTCTTTTTTAGTTTGGTTTGGTTTGGTTTGGTTTTATTTTAACTATCCATTCTTTCTTACTTGATAATGTAAGATCCATTTAACATTTGATGTTAAATCCACATCCAAATTATTAAGTTAGGGATTCAATGATTCATAGTTCTGCTTCTTTGTTTAATTGCCAGGCATGAAGCAAAGTTTATCGACAAAATTCTTGGGGTGGTTAATAAGCAGTTGTACAGCAAATACCAATTAGACATCGAACACCTTGTTGGAATTACTTCTCGGCTGAAGGTTTTGAGTGATCACTTAGATATTGAAAAATCAGGTTCTAAGGATGTTGTTCGCATGATCGGTATTTTGGGGATGGGCGGCATTGGAAAAACAACGCTTGCCAAAACCGTTTATAACAAATTTGAACGTATCTTTGAGGGTAGGAGTTTCCTTGCAAACGTGAGGGAAGTAATTGCACACCAACCCATTTATGGTCTGGTTGGTTTGCAAGAACAACTTCTAAATGATATCTTGAAAAGCAAGGACCCCATAAAGGTTGGCTCTGTTGCTATAGGGATCGATATGATAAGAGAAAAACTTTGCTTTAAAAGAGCACTTGTCATAATTGACGATGCAGATGATCTACAGCAACTAAAAGCAATAGCTAGAGCTCGTGATTGGTTTGGTCCTGGAAGTAGAATTGTTATAACAACAAGAAATCAACATTTGCTAGACCAAGTTGGAGTGGATAGCACATATATGGCTCAAGCAATGGATGAAAAAGAAGCTCTAGAGCTCTTTAGTAGGCATGCCTTCGAAAGTGGTTATCCTAATCAAGAATATCTTGACCTCTCAAAACGTGTAATTCGTTACTGTCGAGGCTTGCCACTAGCACTTGAAGTTGTAGGGTCTTTTTTGATTAAAAGATCCACAGCGGAGTGGGAAAGCCATTTGGAGAAATTGCAGAGAAATCCTGATGGAGATATTCAAAAAATACTCAGAATAAGCTATGACGGCCTACCTGATCAGGAAAAGAGAGAGATATTCCTTGATATATCTTGTTTCTTTATAGGAATGGACAAGGACTATGTAACAAAAATATTAAAGGGATGTGGCTTTGCTCAACCGATAGGAATCAGTGTCCTCATTGAACGGTGCCTTGTAACTGTTAGTGAGGAAAACAAGCTGATGATGCATGATTTGCTTCGAGACATGGGAAGAGAGATCGTTCGTGAAAAATCCCCCGGTCGTCCTGAAAAATTTAGTAGATTGTGGAAACGTGAAGATGTAACAGATGTATTGAGCGATGAATCTGTAAGTACTTTGCCAATAAAGTTTTAGAATGCATCATGCAAGAGAAGCATATGTATCCCATGTCTATAATAAATTAATATGTCCTTTGATTAGGCATAACCAACAAAAAGTATGTGCTTTGATTGCAAACACAAACTATAGGGCGTAACATGGTCCAATACTATTAATTATACCTTTTGGTTAATACATACACGGATTTTCATAATTGTAAATCATTTTTCTAACTCGGTATCTTTTGTTAACAGGGAACTAAAAAAATTGAAGGAGTTGCTCTACATTTGGATTTGGATGTAGATTCGGATATAGATTCGGATCTAGATTTGACTAGATTCGGTGCACAAGCATTTACCAACATGAAAAAACTGAGGTTACTCCACCTCAGCAACGTAAGGCTCACTGGAGGAGAGTACAAAGATTTTCCCAAAAAGTTAATATGGTTGTGCTGGCATTATTTTCCTTTAGAGTCCATACCAGATGACTTTCCTATGAAAAAACTTGTTGCTTTAGACCTGCAGTATAGCTTCCTCAAAATAGTTTGGAAGGATTGCAAGGTATAATAATCTCAACCTAGTTGTTGTTGGTTCTTTCCTTCTGGTTCTATACATATATTATTGTTCACCTTCTCTTCATTTTGGTTTAATTTCTGTATCAGAGACCTTCCTTTTGGATTTTAATTTCCATTCTAATTTTGTTTTTGTGTAACAGTTGCATCAGAATTTGAAAATCCTTAATCTCAGTCGTTCCTATTGGCTAACAAAATCACCAGACTTTTCAAAACTCCCAAATCTCGAGGAATTGATATTGGAAAGCTGTAAGAGTTTGTCTGAGGTTCACCCATCCATCGGGGATCTTTGGAGACTTTCTTTGGTAAATCTTAAAGAATGCCAAATGCTAAAGGATCTCCCACTGAATTTCTATAAATCCAAGTCTATTGAAACTCTTTTACTTAATGGTTGTTCAAGTTTTGAAAAGTTGGCTGAGGGCTTAGGGGACATGGTATCATTGACAACTCTGAAAGCGGATTACACAGCCATAAGACAACTACCATCTTCCATATTAAAATTGAAGAAACTGAAAGCTTTATCTTTATGTTATGAGAAAGGGTCGCCATCAACAAATCTTTTGCCTCCATTGCAAAGTTTAAGCTCTTTAAGAGAATTCGCTCTTGCAGATTGGAGTTTAACTGATGATGCATTCCCCAAGGATCTCTGTAGCTTAAATTCCTTAGAAAATTTAGATCTTTCACGCAATGACTTTTGCAGCCTACCAAGCCTCAGTCGTCTTTCACAGCTTCATGATTTGTCTTTAAATAAGTGCAGAAATCTTTGTGCAATTCCAGATTTACCAACAAATTTGAAAGTCTTACGAGCAGATGGCTGCTTTGCATTGGAAAAAATGCCAGATTTTTCAGAAATGTCAAATATAAGAGAATTGCATCTAAATGATTCGGGCAAACTCACTGAGATTCTAGGCCTGGACAAGTCATTAAACTCCATGACAAGGATTCATATGGAAAACTGCACTAATCTCACTGCCGATTTTAGGAAGAACATCCTACAGGTCAATCCTTCTCTCTCTCTCTCTCTCTCACACACACACACACACACATCTCTCTCTTTCTCTCACATACGATAAGAATGTATTTCTTATAGAAATTTGGCTCTACATGGTATAGGGATGGACTTCTTGCGGATATGGTGGCATTTTTCTCAGTGCAAATGATATTCCTGATTGGTTCCATTATGTCCATGACGATGATATTGTGTATTTCACTGTGCCTCAAAGTGTTGGTCGTAATTTGAAAGGGTTAACTTTGTCCTTCGTTTACTCTTCAGACTCATTCTTCCGTAGTTGCACTAGCTTTAGCATTCTCATTAAAAATATGACCGAGGGTACTGAGCTTGATGCCAGGATCATATCCAATCCTCCAACTAAGGGTGAGAAGGACAGTTATTATCTTTGGCAGGTACAGTTATCAAATGACGAGCTCAAATTGCAAGACGGTGATAAAGTCTTGATTGAAATAATAGTGGAGGAGAAATATGGTTGTGAGAATGTGAAGGTGAAGAAAACAGGTGTTAGTCTGGTATGGGACAAATTTATGAACGAAAATATGATTGATTACCATCTTTGTGCGTATGAACGACGCCCATATCTGGTCAATGATGATGACATCATTCATGTCGAATATGATAATCACATAACAAAATCACCAGACTTTTCAAAATTCCCAAATCTCAAGAAGTTGATATTGAAAGGTTGTAAGGAGTTGATTAAGGTTCACTCATCCATCGGGTATCTTGGAGGACTTTCTTTGGTAAATCTTCAAGGCTGCTTCATGCTAGAGGATCTCCCACTGAATTTCTATAAATCCAAGTCTATTGAAACTCTTCTACTTAATGGTTGTTCAAGTTTTGAAGACTTGGCTGATGGCTTAGGGGACATGGTATCATTGACAATTTTGGAAGCAGATAACACGCGCATCAGAGAAATTCCATCTTCCATAGTAAAATTGAAGAAGTTGAGAATTTTATCTCTATCTGGTGAGAATTTTGAAATTCCATCTTTTACCCCTTTCGTTACATGCCTTAAACTCTTTAATAGAGTTATTATGTCTTGCAGGCTGCTGGTTGGGGTTAACTGAGGATGCAATCCCTAAGGATCTATGTAGCCTAATTTCCTTAGAACATCTGCGTCTAGAAAACTTCATGCAATCCCAGATTTACCAACCAATTTGTATGTTCTGAAAGCAAATGGCTGCCCAAAATTGGAAACAATTCCAGATTTTTCAAAAATGTGGAATATGAGAGAATTGTATCTAAGTGATTCGTTCAAACTCACTGAGGTTCCAGGCTTGGATAAGTCATTAAACTCCATGACAAGGATTCATATGGAAGGCTGCACCAATCTGACTGGAACGCGGCACCAATCTGACTGCCGATTTTAGGAACAACATCCTACAGGTCTCTCTCTCTCTCTCTCTCTCTCTCTCTCTCTCTCTCATACACACACACACACAAACACAGAGGTACAGCTGCAGATGCGGCCCATATATATAATGATATATGCATGCATGTATAAGAATGTGTTGCTTCTGGTGTGCAGAGATGGACTTCTTGCGGATTTGGTGGAATTTATTTGAATGGAATTTATGATATTCCTGAGTGGTTCGAGTTGGTCGATGATGTGGACAATATCATCTTCTTTGAAGTTCCTCAAAAAATCATGGGTCGTGATTTAAAAGGGTTGACTATATGCTTGGTTTACTCTTCAGACAGGCTAAAATTTGTACATTCTGTAGGTTCTGAAGGTCCTATTGGCATTATCGTTAGAAATCTTACCAAACGAACTGCTTTGCACACCAAGATAGCATTTGCCTCCTTAAAAAGAAGATACGGATACAGAGACAGTATCCGACTGGGTTTGCAAGGCGCCGATTATCTTTGGCAGGGACAATTGTCAAACGATGTGCTCTGTTTGCAAGGCGGGGACCGAGTCTCCATTTTTGTAAGGACTGATGATGTTGATTTTGTGAAAGTGAAGAAGACAGGGGTTCATCTAGAATGGGACAAAGTCATGAAGGAAAATATCGATAATCCGGATCCTCATTTCTATAATTTGGAAACAAATCGGGATTTTTGAGGGGGATTTGATGACTATTTCAAGAAATTGTTGTCACTGAGACGAATGGTAACCATACTGAGCAAGCCATCAATGTTGATGGAGGAAGAAGAAGCCATGATGAAGCAGAGAGAAATTGCAATCTTGATTTCTGTATTTCTTAATCTTTTAAGCTACAGCACTATTACACTTTATAGTACAGTCGTCTAACTCACTACTAACAACTCACGTGCCTTGCACACCTAACTCATTAACTGTTTACAATCATATCAATAGTTAACAGTTAGTGCGCTTTAAGTAGACCAACACCCCAATGCCGGTTAAAACAACATCACTTGCCAAAACTCCATCCCGTTTTCTGGGTTGTGGTTGTAACCGACTGGGTTTTGGTTCTGTGCTCAGAATCAAAGAAGTCCAGATGCAACCTTGAAACCTGAGGAAGAGATGGAGTAGAAGATTGAGGCAGAGGCACAAGGAAATAAATCATACAAGAGAAAATAATTTAAAAAACTTTCCATTAACCTCTTGGCTAATCTGATCCTGTCAATTACAAGGTTAAAATTTTCAATAAGAAAATACTCCAATTATTTGGTAAGATGATGACCCAAATCTATTACAAAGTTAACAAATTTCAATAGGAAATCTACTTCAATGATTTGGTGATGAGATGACTCAAATGAGAGAGCCACGCAGAGACCACCACCTGTCCCAAAGCCCCACATGTCTCATTCTGGTGCACTCTTCACTTATGTAGGTAGCAAACACGTGTCAGCATAAGCAGTAACGTACGCTTCACATCTCCTTCACACAAGTAACATTTTCTACATTTAAGACCAAAAAGGTACAGGGAGCTTCACATTTAAGAAACATAAATCCCAAAATATAGGAAAATCCTATGCAATCCAAATTCCATAAAACAGCCCAGTTCGACTATTCAATGGACCTACCAATACAAACAACACTTGAAAATCATACAAATTATAAAATTTGTGTGCCTCAATTTCAATAAGAAAGTTAGGAAGATACAGGGCTTATTTGGGAGTACTCATGGTGACATTCTACATTTCTTAAGGAAGGGAATTTTCAAATATTAAGAAGACTTACCATGTTCTCATCATCAAATGCGGCGTCTATGAAGCGATTTGGAAAACCTAAAGTACAATACTCACTCAGTAACCCCCACATACCACTTTTGGGAAACTTAAAGTACAATACTCACATGATATACATGCTAAGTCTAAATATCATATTAGCCACTATATGTCAACTTATCGTTTATCAAAGTCATATGCATCATATTTGTGTCAATTATCTAGTGTATGTGTGACAACTAATCTGCATGATGCTATTTTTGACCTCAAATGGGTGGATGCCATGAATGTTGAAGTGGAAGCTTTTAACAAGAATGAAACTTGAGATTTAGTCCCTTTACCAAGAAGGAAGAAAGTTATTGGGTGCATATGGGTGTTTACTTTGAAGCATAAGGCTGACGGTTCTATTGACCGATACAAAGCTAAATTGGTAAGTGAGTGTATAACAAGAGATCTCTACCCTCAGTAATGAGGGAGAATGCTATGATGATATGATTCAAGAGTCTTCGGCCGAAGCACTAGTTATGAATGAGAATGGTAATTCCAATCATACTTGTATGTGTCATATAAGATTGGAGTTCACATTAGGGGCTTGACATGTTTTCCGTACGCTAATGATGTAACCACGAACATTGAGTTAGAGAATGACTGTATTACATTGTAATTGCAACTGAATAGGTTCTCCACCACATTCTACATTGGTATAGATAATCGTGACATGTTGCAAGATGTCACTCACGGTTTGTGGAAGCCCTGAGGATATATCATAACTATGTCCTCATAATAGGGAGAATTAAAATAGGGTTTTAATTCACAATCGATTAAGGAAGAATGTGAGAATGTAAAGGTGAAAATGTCCCACATTGAAAAGTTAAAAAACCTAACAAGGGCTTATAAGGAGTTGGAGTACTCCTCCCATTAGTTTTGGGGTGGGACCTCAACTTCCTTTAGAGTTTATGATTTTAGGGTTTGACGTGGGTCTGAACTCTAAACCCTAAAGCAATGTCTCATACACGTGCTCCACGTCACCAAATAGGTGTTGTCCACGTGTTATGCTTGAAAATTCATCACACATGCGAGGGCGTGTGAGAATATAACATCACTAATTATTTTCTCCAAAATCCTTAAATTCATAAGAGGCCGTTTCGTATAGAGCACTCCTTCATAATGCATCGCTTTAAATCCCAAAATGTTGCTGCTTTCTCAAAAGTGATATATGTCCATGCTGCGTTTCCTTATAAAAAGTGTAAAACTGTAACACTAAAACTTAGAATAAATAAGTCACATACAAATAAAGGGTATATTATTATTATTTTATTATAATAATTTGAGTCTAAAAGCTTACGTATTGCCTTGGGATCAATAACATGTCTCATTTATGAAAAATATCGCAGTAAAATTATCATCGCGATATTTATTTGCAGTGGACAATTCTAGGTTGTAATGATATTTATTTCATAATATCTTAAATTTTTAAGGGTATTGTTTATTAAACATGTCAACCACCGTTAAGATTGAGAGGAGCTGAGCAGTTGAGCGAGAAGACAGAAGACATAAAGCCCATAAACGATGGACCACCGATTCTTTCCTTTATTATTCTTCCTTCCTTATATCCTTCCAGGAACTGTGAGACTTGAGATGCCTGATCTTCCTCATCAATGCTTTCTGAACCATTCACCTATTTTACAAAATAATGTCAACTGTTTTGAATTTCTATCATGCAAAAGTGTCAAAAATACAAGTGAGGTAAGAAAAACAAGGAAATCTTCAAGCGGCAAACGTAACATGAATATTATCAGGTGACCTGAAAAAATTACAAATGAATTTGGCTACAGATACAAACATGTCTACATCTTTGTTACTGCATTCTTTTAGGTAACTTGAGAGGCAACTGAACAATTGAGTAACCTATATCATGATCCCTAGAGGATTAGTTTGGTGATGCATCGATGACTGGTTGGGCCCCGTGCAAGTTCAAACCAGTGGCGGATCCAAGATTCAAAAGTCAGGTAGGCGAAATTTACCTTAAAAACTCGATGGTACAAATGAATTTCATGTATAAAAATAAGGGAGACTTTGGAAAAGGCCAAAGGAGAGAGAAATTTTTTAAAAGAAGCCAAAATGGACAAAATTGCCCTTATTTATTTTTGGATTTCCTAAGTAATCCTTTACATTTGCATGTCTTTGGTGTGAAAGTTGAGAGGTTTTTCTGTCATTTTCGAAAAAGCTTTGGCTTTTTCCAAAAGTGAAATTTTTTGTGTGGCTAAAACCTAAATTACCTTAAAAATAAAAAGATACACTTAGTCAGGAGGGACGTAATGAGCCTTACCCTCAAATATGCATCTCTATACATAAATAAAAGCTTAACAAAACAAAAAAACAAACAAATAAATGCAATGCAACACAAAACTAAACTATTTAAATATGAAACTTTACCCTACGAGGCTTAGATATCTTAAATTCCTCAATTATCTTTGCATTATTGACACAAGAGTGTGGGCTGGTTATAATTGTTTCCCTTTTATTTTTAAGTTTGAGTGGGCTATAACACATGTGGGTAGTTTTACATTGGCTGGGTAGGCAAAGGTTTACACTATCACATGTGATGGCTAGAAATAACCTTGCTTATATATAGGTTTTTTTTTTAAGTGAAAAAATTTGGGGTAGGCAGCCGCCTACCCTGCCCTGGCTGTAGAACAGCCACTGGTTCAAACCATTTTTGTGTGGCTAAAACCTAAATTACCTTAAAAATAAAAAGATACACTTAGTCAGGAGGGACGTAATGAGCCTTACCCTCAAATATGCATCTCTATACATAAATAAAAGCTTAACAAAACAAAAAAACAAACAAATAAATGCAATGCAACACAAAACTAAACTATTTAAATATGAAACTTTACCCTACGAGGCTTAGATATCTTAAATTCCTCAATTATCTTTGCATTATTGACACAAGAGTGTGGGCTGGTTATAATTGTTTCCCTTTTATTTTTAAGTTTGAGTGGGCTATAACACATGTGGGTAGTTTTACATTGGCTGGGTAGGCAAAGGTTTACACTATCACATGTGATGGCTAGAAATAACCTTGCTTATATATAGGTTTTTTTTTTAAGTGAAAAAATTTGGGGTAGGCAGCCGCCTACCCTGCCCTGGCTGTAGAACCGCCACTGGTTCAAACCCAGCTGGCACCCCTCATAAATTGACCTAGCCACAAAAGAATATTTTTTTTTAAGGTATCACTTATGTCCCATATGATTCCATGCTTGAGGGTCAAACATTACAAAGCTATAGCTCCCATCTCAGTTTTTCCTATTAGTAATGTATGATACTCAAGCTCACAGGTAAGATAAGAAGGGAAAGGCTCTACAGGTCATCAGAGATTATCTCAATCATACGTGCAGCCAGCTACTATGATAGTAACTGTGTGCATTTCATAAGTCATCCATTATCTCTACACAGGTCAGTAAACAATCTCGTTTCTAATCTGGAAGCAAACCCAAATTTGGAAGGCATAGACAAAGCAACCTCTTTGCTGACATTGTCTCTTTTTCTGTGTCTCCTTGATGGTATGCTCTTGATCTTCTAATCTCTATATTGTCCTAATGAATTGCTTTTAAGTTTGGAAGAGTCGGACAAAAAACCCTTTGTGCTAACATTGTTCGTTGTACGGTGTTATCCTTGAGTGGTATGCTCTTCATCAGTGTCAACTTTTGATAGCTCTGCTTGTTTTTTTCATCAGTGTCAAGAAACTGCAGGTATTCCAGTAATTTATCATAGTGAAAGTACATCAAAACTATCAAATGAATAGATAAATACACTGTTTCACATAAACACTGAAATGTTAATGGTTAAAATCTTTTTTTCATTTTTGTCAACATAATCATCATCTATGGAGGAAAACAGCAAAATTGCATTTTCATTTTCATTATGAATTTGCTAAAAGCCTACAGCAATACAAGAAGCTCTGACATTTTCTAAAAGAAGGCTTGTACATCTAGCCGCATCCTAGATTGCAAACAAGTGCAGATTAGATAAGCGTGCTAGGAAGGAACAAGAATTATCAAACTCCAACAACGTAATCAGACTCACAGGATATGAACCCCAATTCCCAGCTCCATCAACTTAAGTTCAGAGTTGCAATAAGTACTCATGCAGTATCACTCATACAAGGCAGATTTTTTTTCTTTCCGAAGAATTGAATATGCCAATGAAATGCATCTCTGAACCTCAGTCTTAAGGATTTTATGAACCTTCATTTATAAAAGGGAACAAATTGGTTAGAGGTGTTCGAAAGTTTTTACAGATTGGGCAACCTAACTAATCCAAATGAATTCAGGTATTTTGTATGTTTTTAGTTAAAATCAGTTCTGCATAAAGCTGAACTAAGCACTTAGGCTTGTACATATTGGAGAGAGATGGCTCCACATTCCTCTTAACCAAATTTCCAACCACTAAACCTACTTTACCCCTAGATTTTGACACTAACTCCCACTTCACCAACTGCACTTATTTCCCCTCTCCTTGGCCTTGCCATAAAAATTCCCATATGAGCTTCTCAACCTTCATCTATTGGGACTACTTATCCTATTTGATGCTATTATGGGTGGGATTTATGCAAAGATAGTAAACAGGTAAAAGTGTTTCTCTATGTTCTCAGTTTTAAAGGAAGGGGAAGGGAAACGAGAATGTTTTGGTATGACCAGCTACATGGAGATATTCTTAAGGATTCTTTCCAGGTTTGTTAACTTAGGTGGCTAGCAAGGATGTATCATAACATAATTGTATAGACGAAACATTGCTTAGTTGAAGTGGTGTCTTTCTGAGAAATCTGAATGATAGGGAAGTAAACTGTAATTGAAGATTTCAAAGGTTGATTGGAGTTCACAATTCACATATACGTGGACTAAGGAAGGATGTTTTGAATAGGCGCTGGGAAATTGCAGAACATTTTCTGCAAATATTCAACAAAATGCACATAATCAGAATAAAAGCTTAAGACCGAAAGAAAAACATAACAAAAAGCCACATGACTCTGATGGTGAATATCAGATTACCCGTCCATGAATGTCAGTGGATAAGGCATTACCCATCCTTTACTCAAGTGCCCTTGTGTGCCTTAGTTTCTTAAGGAACATGAGGAAACATGCTAATAAGTAGCAATAAAACGAGATTAACTTAAGTCATTGTATGTTTGAGCAACTTAAGTCAATGTGAATGTAGCAATCGGTGTTATCTTCAAATACAGAAGGCAAGAATAATGCACTCCTACAACAAAGATATTCATCCCGAGCCTAAATTTTAAGGGCCTTTTGATCCACTTGAGGCAAATTTTTCCCGAGCCTAAATTTTAACCTAAAGATGCAATCCTAAACCCCAAAAATCATTTTAAAGTGAATGAGAAGAGCTCCAACTTGTGTTTTACTGTCGGATGATTTGAGCGAATTGAAATACCCCTCCATGTGAGGGACACATGGTCAAAACTTAACAGACTTTAGAAGAATCTGATAAAAATTGAAATTTGCCCTTGAATTGCTCCAAATTGAAACTAAAAACATAAATTTAACAAAATTACTACATGAATCAGAATGATAAAATCGACAAACTACGGGGACCAAAAATAAATTTTTGCCTATTCAGTGTGTGGTGAAGTAGGTGAGGATGGTTGTTGGGTATTGACAAAAATATTTAATACATGTTCGTTGGGTTTTGGATTGCATTTTATTCAATGCAACTTTTGGGAAAAACAGCTCTGATTTAATTATTTTATTGCCTCGAGCCATTTTTTTTAATAAAGAAAAAGCCATAAAGGGACAGCTGATCTCTCTCAGATTTGCCTTTTGCTTCCATATTTGACAATTTTTTTTTATTGGTCAATGCTTCCAGCCTACGCGTGATAAGCCCTGGTAGGAAGGGCACGGGTTGTAATCTTATTATTATGGGTTAAATATCTTTTTTATTAATGGATTTTATACGAAAATTTAATTTTATAACTCAGAAAAAAATTAGCCAAATTGGTCATTGTGTTTCCCAAAGTGTATAATTTATAAATTTTCCATTATTATCCGTTCAGTGCAGTTAGAAGAAGAAAACTCCAGGTGCTTCCTGAAAAAATAAAAATAAAAACTACACTTGACGAAAGATAATAAAATGTCTATAAATTGTAAACTTGGGAAATATAATGACTAATTTGTATAATTTTTTTTTTTCTCAATGACTAAATTGAATTTTCGTGTAAAACTCAATAACTAAAAAAGTATTTAACCCTAAAAAATGGGACACTCCAACTCCAAATTACTATTATTATAAATAATCAACCTCACAAAGTGGTTTAATAAATAAATGGGCCACTCCAACTCCAAATCCCACCTTGCTTATCTTATCAGTTGTAGGGGTGGGCATCTCATCCGAATTATCCGCGTACCGACCGTACCGTACCGACGGTATGGTTAACGGAAACAAAATTCCTAACCGGACGGTTTAATTATTCCGATCCGATCCGTACCGAAATATTTGGTTTGGTTAACGGAAACAAAATTCATAACCCGACGGAAACCCGTACCGATCCGATATTTATACTTATTTTATTATTTAAATACAAAACAAGAAACCAAAGGTAAATACAATCAGCATTTTGTATCACTCTTTTATCACCACTGTATCACTTCTTTATCACCATTGTGTCACTACTTTATCACCATTGTATCACTGCTTTATCACCATTGTATCACTTATCCGAGTACTGTAGCACTTTTTGGTCAGAGAGGAATTTATGAACTTCCTATGTTTTCCAGTTTCGACCTTTGTCCTGTTTTTTACCTGTAACTTTCCAACTGTTGATCCAAATTTTATGTTCTTTATATGGTTGGATTCAGCATGAAAAAATAAAGAACCCAACGCGGAACAAATGTCAAAATCATTTACATAAATGTAGAGAATTCAATAAAAAGAACACTCAAAAGTTCAAACAACAAACACAAGTGGCTCCCAATTCATCTTGAGGACATATTGAATGATATAGTGACTAAGTTGTTTGATTTCATACTTGGATGAATTAGGTTATTAGATTTTTATATTTTAAAAGGATAATTTGGTGTATTTGTTCAAGAACTTATGTTATGTGAAAGTATTATAAATTATATTTTTATTAGGATGTTTTTATTACGGTAGTACCGGCGTACCGACCCGTTCCGAACCGAATGTTAGGTTAACCGATCCGAAGTCTACCGAAGTCTTTGGTTTGGTTAACGGAAGAGAAAATGGTCTACCGAAGTCTTTGGTTTGGTTAACAGAAGAGCCATCTACCGTTCCAAACCGATCCGCGCCCAGGCCTAGATATGTATATAGCTGCAGAGAGAATCTGAGATTCTCCACTACATGGATTTAGGAGGACACAGTTTTTTTATATTTTGGTTACTGGGGGCGTATGTCCCTGTCTCTCCCAGTGAGATTTCTACAAGAGCTAGCTCACTTCATAATATTGGCAAAATTTTAAGTGGATAGGCTCAAGGGCGGAACTAGGAATTTTCAACGGGTGGACTAGCTAAAGTTATTAGCTTAAAATTTAATGATCATTTTTTTTGGTACTTACAATTTCTATAGTCTTTCTAGAAATAAAAGTAAACATTAAATCATATAAACCATGCTAGTTCATAGCTCCATAGACTAATTTTCAATAAGTTTTAACATAAACCAAATAGGGTTTAACACCATAGTGGATTGAACATCTAAGGCTTTTTATCTAGATTGACCTTAGGTTCCTTCATGCATTCATATCATACATGAAAAATTGTTTTATGTAAAAATATTGACTAAGTATGAAAAATGGGTTTTCGGAATAATCATTTTCTCAATATAATTTTGGGCGGCTTTTATTCCTCACACATCAAATAAGAAAACTTGATTTTATGGGATTTTAGTCTGAAGTATATATTGCCTTAATGAGCCATCAATTTTAGCCTAAATCGTATTTTGCACTAAAATCGATTTTTCATAATTTGATTTGGTTGGAATTTGATTTTCTAGGTTTTATATAAATATATTTTTTAAACCACACTTTTTCTAGGTTTTATATATATATATATTTTTTTAACCACACTGGGCTACAGCGCTGTAGCCCTTGGTGTGGTTCCGCCCTTGGATAGGCTTGAAGGAAGAAAATTCCATGGCCACTTTTAGTTTAGGGCTTTTTACAAATACGCTCATTCTAACATGATATATTATATTGCGATCAGTTACTTTTATGTGTTATTGAGTTGTTTATGCTACCAATTTTGATATTATTGTGACAATTATTCAAAGTGACTTTTAGTCTAGAGTTCTTTCTAGAGCAAAATTTATTCTAAGTGTCATTTTCATTTGTAGGAGAGATAACAAAATGCATGCGCATACGCTAGCCATATACCAAAATGAGTTAGATGGTATT